GTCTAACTAGGCAAAATGAATTTAAATTCATTTTTTACAAAAAGTTAGACACCCAAACTCATTTTCACTCTTTTTTTCTTAAAAACTTACAACAATGGTGTTCAAACTCTCACACAAGTGTGAAAAGCCAATACCGATCATTTGACCATACTCAATAAACAGTATAAAACTTGTGCAACACACTACAACCATTCAAATACACATAACACAAATTTACCACTCAAACCCAAATTTCATAAAACATAAGGGGGAGGAAATTCTTGCACAAATCATCCATTTTCATTTCAAAACTTTTCAAAATACACATAACACTACTTGTACAAGTATTTTGGCCCTTTATAAGGTTTACAGCCAAGACTCATCAACCCAGGGCACAATATACATACATTGTACACAAGTATAATGCAAGTAACTTAAAATAATCATGTGAATCCTGGTTGGCAAATTAACATTGATACACATAAAATAACACAATGAGGCATACAAGTAGGATTTACTCTACAATCTTAAGCCTCAGCACATTTTCCCCAATCTTGATCCGATGAGCCAAGCCCTAAAAATATTAAAAATTAAAGAGTGAGTATAATCACTCAATAACTAGGTTTCACCTAGTCTATACAGTTGCTTATCAATTAAAAATAGATGTAATTGGCACATGTGATAAATATAGCTATGGTCATAACAATAAAAATCATGTGACTAGGCATAAAATACATATCATATTAATAATTATGCACAACTTGGGATTGCAAAACTAACAACCATGCGCCCCTAACACATATCGGACCATCATAATAACAATCATGTGGTCAAAACTAGATGCATAATCAAATGTCAGCCTTATACCTTCCTGTTAGCTTCGACATGAAACCAGTAGTTATTAAGTAGTTATGTAGCCCACAGACTAACTCAGTCTTTCACTTGTGAGGAGCTATCAGGTTAGGGTTAACTTACTCACTTGTGTATCACGATTTCTCCTAATACTAATAATCATAGGGTGTTGTACCCCCAATATAGCCTGCTCATAAACCAGTGGAGACTAGTTAGGTTTGAGTGCCTCATAGAACCTGTAGGACATTCCCAAATCAACTATAGAACAAGATCTACCTCTTAATTCTAACAGTCAGTACAAAAGCAAGCTTTTGATTCCAACGGTTAGCCGCCAATACCACATAGATTTATCAATATACTCCTCTCCTGAGGCGAACTTGCCAATGATCATGCTATGCATATATGATAAATAGTATGCATTTGATACATATTATTTCAATTATTTCATGCATATACAATTTTCTCCTTTCACTCTTCTCCATATGCCATTGAACACATAGTCATGCTCTCAACCATCATCATCATCATTCACACATGTAAAATATGCACATTGTTTGCAACCATTCAACATAATTTTCAAACAAGCCAAATTTGCATCACAAAGTTCAAATTTCAATCACAGTTTCAAAACAACAATTTCAATCAATAAGTAATTAATATCCAACTATATAAACTAGGTTTCTTTCAATTACCTCAAACCTTTAAGAGGTCAAATGTTTATCCTTCATAATACTAACTTTTAAAGCTTCTTTCCAAGCTCAAATGGTGTCAAATGAGTTACTCTACAATTGTATTGCAAGGATATCATCATTATCTCATTCTTGGAAATTTACCAACATTAAACTCCACATTCTCCATGTTATTAACCTCATAAATTCATTACCTATCATACCCAATGGTTTGCTAGGTTCGATTGGCCTACATCATTACTAATGAGTTATTAAACTATCATTAGTAAATATTAAATACTCCCAACAACCTCATTTATTTTAAAATTTAGATATTAATGGCTCCCAACTACTAACCACTTACAAAACTATTAATATTGGGTTTAAATACTCTAAATCACTATCATTATATCCATTTTAACTAATGAATTTAGACCCATAACTTGTAGGATCAAAAATCACCATTAACACTCAAACCCTAACTTAATTCCTCATAATAATGGAAGTAGAAAGAAGAGAGAAGCACATTACACTTATCTTGGGTGTTAGAAGGCTTCAAGTTAGCACCAATGGTCTCTAATATCGTGCCCTAGGAGAGTAATAGATATACCTCACAATTCTTTTCTCTCTTCTCTTTTGATTTCACATGCAAATATGTACAAATTTATTCAGGATTGTGGCCATATGCCGCAGCGCACGTAGGCTTCCATTACAGCGCGTGGCACAGAGAGCTCCAATTCACTCTGATTTGCCTCTGTGTACCACAACAGATCATCTACATGCTGTGACATGTGGCATAGAGGACTTTCCTTTAAATTTTCCTCTTCTTTCCTTGCCCGAATGGCCTGACTTCACTTCGGACACTATTTAGGGCTAAAATCATAGCCAAATACACTATTATACCCTCTGGTCACACACCTCATCAATTCACTAATTACCCTTATTATGTTTAATTAGTCATGCTTAGAATATTTCTAGGATGTTACAAGGAGTTGATATGAATTTAGATTCAGTGAATAGCCTAAATTTACTTACTCAATAAGCGTCTTAATCACAACTATTAGATTTCATTACCACTTAAAAATTATCAAAGTAAATTTGTTTTTGAAAATTCAATATAATTATCATGATCAAAATTTAGAATGCTCATAATGCATATTATCCCCTCTAAAAATTTTAGATTTATTATTTTCTAAATGTCATATGATAAAGTCTCTAATAGCCTTTTAATTAAATTGAATAGTTATTATTGTATCACATGGGATACTCATTAAGGGTGTGTTTGGTTTAAGGAGAAGCAAGGGATTTTAATGAAGGGAAGGAGAGAGGAGGGGAGGGATTTGTTATTATCTTGTTTGGTTTAGGAGGGGAGGGGAGGAAAAATAATTATATATAGGTCACTTTATCCTCATTTTATTAGTGTTTAGATACTAGAGAAGTATATTTGCATTTTTTAAACTTATCACATAAGGCATATTAGTTAAAGTATGATAGATTTTACCTCTCCCCTTAGGAATTTTTTAAAATTTTTCCCTCCACTCCAATTTTTAAAGCCAAACAAGGGGATGGGGGACAAAATCCCTCCTCTCCCCTCTAACCAAACAACCCCAAAGCAAGTAGACCACTTAATAAATTTTAAATTTTAAATTGGATTCAAATTTTATTGAATAATATATATATATATATATATATATTTAAATATAATAAGAATTTCCATATGATTTAAACAAAATTCATAAAATTTTATGTAACTTATTTTAAAATTTGTGAGAAGTAGTCATGGACTTCGAAGAAATTAATGCAAAACTTTTCTACAACTAATTTAAATTATCTGACAAGAGAAACATCTCTCAAGTGGGAAAAGAAATATCAAATAATGAGTGAAAAGATATAAAAAAAATCTATTTCCTCTATTTTTATTCACTTATTTTGTTATTTTAATCTTTTTCAAAAGCAATTAAAGCTTTTTGTTTAGATATTTAACCCTTAAGTAAGAATAGAAATAACTCAAACAAGGGATTTGAAGCTCAAATTCCAAAACTTTCAGAAATATTACAACTATATTCCACGTGCCTTTGATTTAAAAAAAAAATTCCACTGTCAGCAAATTAAGGTGCTGTGTGTTTGAAGATTTTTTTAAAAAAAATACAAAGATCACACTAGTACAAATTATGAATTTTAAAGATAAAAGGCAAATAATGTAAAAAGTGATGACATTTTTGTAATATTTGTATTTGATTGTTGGATTTTTTATTTCAAAAGCCTTTGCAAATGACATAGAAAACACTTTCTACATCACGTACTACACTTAATGTAGAAAGTATAGTTTTTACATTGGGTGCCATATCCAATGTAGTATTTATGCATGTGCCACATGCGCCTGTATAAAATTTTATATGCCTCTACTATATTGTTGACAAATATGCCCTCATAACTTTGGCGGCAACTTTTTAATAGTATAATTTTAATCAAGAAAATTCATTAAAAATTTTCCTTCCCTTTCCTCCATTATCATTTTGCCAGATAAGCTCCCCACCATTTTTCTATCCAAACAAGGGTAGGGGAATGAATAACACGTTGAGGATAATTATCATAAACTTGTATGTCACAGAATTAGCGTGAATATTATCAAGGAGTGCCATAATTATTGTGTCCCGTTACAATGATTAATTAATGATTTTCTTGATTGGTTCTTATACTGGAAACGCCTTATAAAGGGATGGGATTATTATCAATCTTGGCTCACTAGATTCTTGCCATGTTGCTATGTTTAGTCCTTTGCCTTTAGGAAGGGATTAATGAATGGGTCAAAGGATCAAGAGTATGCAACTTATATAAAGAGATTGCTATTATATATTTTAGTAAATATTTATTTCATTATAAAATCTACCTATCTTAATTTGATTGGATAAAAATATATTAAGTATAAGGACATAAGTCTTTCTCTAAAAATAATAATAAATTCAACTGTTTAGTTGTGTGTAACTTTGTTTTTAGACGTATCCGTTACATGAAAAAGTCGTCCAGCTTGTTGCTGATCACCATGGAAATACGTAGAGACATGAGAGTATAGATCGGTTATTGCGAGAACTGACGGATGATTTGTTTGGGTTCAAAGAATCAGGTACAACTCAGTCACACACACACAATATCTTCTGGTAATTTTTTTTTTTGATAAAAAGCATGAAAGAAACCGGTCACAGAAAATCAATGTGTATGGATTTTCAACGTTAAGATTAGTCTACGACCCATCCCATACGACAAGGAATTTAGTCTACGACCCATCCCATACGACAAGGAAACGAAGACCCATTTTGTCAAGTCTCCCTCCTTTGTCCTTTTGTTCCTTCGTAGACCAAGGCTGTGCGTCAACGGCCAAAATTAATGAATCTTCCCCCCCCCCCCGGGGGGGCCTCCGTCATAATTTTGTTATAATCTTTGATATTTTTTTAATTTTATTTGATTTATGTGTTTATTTTCAAAAATTATCTCGCATGTCACTTTTATCTCTTATTTCAGTTGGTTCTAATTTGAATATTCAATTTTACCTCAAATTTTACCCGTCTTTTGATTTAGTTTTGCCTAATTTGTTCCTATGTTACATATTCGTTTGTGTATATGTATATGTAGCTCCAATTTATAGATATGCAATGAATTGAAGCGAAGCTTCAGAGTAACTTGAGCGAGCGAGAGACGGAGATCATCTTCGTCATCAACGAAATAATGAAGCTCTTCAAAGTTGATCCTCCTCTCTCTGTTTTCGTGAGCTTCACGACGATCCTTGCAGTAATAATAACCAGTTCTAGAGCATCAGCCCAAACTGAGGAATATTATGACTGTCGAAACACAACCTTTTTCTCTTCCAATAGTGCCTATCAAACCAATCTCGACCATCTCCTTTCATGGCTTTCCACAAATTCCACCAGCCAAAACGGTTTCTACTACGCCACTGCCGGCGACTCCGACAACACTGTCTACGGTGCCTTCCTCTGCCGGGGAGATCTCGCCGCCGATGCCTGCCATGACTGCGCTTCCACAGCAGCCAAACAAATACTCCGAAAGTGTCCGTTCGATAAAAAGTCAGTACTCTGGTTCAACGAGTGTATGTTACGTTACTCAGACAAGCCTTTCTTCTCCACCAGTGAAGAAACCCCCCGTCTGATTTTGATGAATACTGCGACTAGCTTAAACCAGAGTAGCTTTATGTCGCTGTTGGGAGAAAATATCAACGCGGTGGCAGCGCAAGCGGTGAAGGGCGGAGCCGACAAGAAGTTTTCCACCAAAGAAGCGAAATTTTCTAATTTCCAAACACTGTACACGCTTGCACAGTGCACGCCAGATTTATCTGAAGCTACCTGCGATACATGCTTGAAAGGAGCAATTTCGAACTTACCCAGTTGCTGCAATGGAAAGATAGGGGCCAGAGTGCTGCATACAAGTTGTATTATCCGATACGAAACGTACCCGTTTTACCATCAGGCGCCGGTGGTGACCTCACAAGACCCAACGCCGAAAGGTATTATGAAATGTTCTTTTGTTTTTCTCAAAAATTAGTTATACATTGAATTAAAGGGTAGTAAATTGGAAATAATTGAACCCATGTTAATTTAAGCAGGAAGAACCCGGATTTCTGTAGCCAAAATCGTTGCGATTGTGGCTCCAATATTGACTGTTTTGCTGCTTTTCTTCCTTCTCTGCTGGTTAATAACTAGAAGGGCAAACAAGAAGCATAAACCAGTGCCAGCTGAAGATGATGATGGTATGATTCAGAAAATAGCGGTTGTGTCCGTGCTCTTTCAGTGCTTCCTCATTTTTGCTAGCTTATAAGCTGCTGTGAAACATTTTATGCTTGTGGCATCAATTATCCAATCTATCATTAAAATCGTGTCTTCAGCTTTAAGTTTACTCCGGCTGCTTTTGTGCAGTTGAAATTTCCAGTGTGGATTACTTGCAGTTTGATCTCGAAACGGTTAAATTGGCCACAAATAACTTCTGCCATGACAATAAATTAGGAGAAGGAGGATTTGGTGAGGTTTTCAAGGTATTTTAATTTTTCCCTGTAAAAATTTGAGACATTTCGGTCTTGGGTTCAGAGCTTCTCAAAGATTAATGTACGGTATTTTCAGGGATCTCTTCCTAATGGGCAAGATATTGCAGTGAAGAGGCTTTCGTTAAGCTCTAGGCAGGGTGCAGAGGAATTCAAGAATGAGGTAGTTTTAGTGGCCAAGCTTCAACACAGAAACCTTGTTAGGCTATTGGGATTTTGCTTGGATGGAGAAGAGAAGATCCTCATATATGAGTTCATCCCCAACAAGAGCTTGGATCATTTTCTTTTCGGTATCTTATTCATGAATAAGTTTCTTTAATTTGAATTTCTTTACCCTTTTGATATTGCATCTTAATTTCTTCATTCCTTTTGATGTTTGATTAGATGAGGAAAGAAAGAGTATGTTGAATTGGCCAAAACGATATAAGATTATACAAGGAATTGCTCGGGGATTACTTTATCTTCATGAAGACTCTCGACTTAAAATCATACATCGTGATCTTAAAGCTAATAATATATTATTAGATGAGGAGATGAATCCAAAAATTACAGATTTTGGTATGGCAAAAATTTTTGGTCTTAGTCAAACTCAAGGATACACAGACAGAATTGTGGGAACATTGTGAGTTTCATTTCTTTTTCATTTGCTTTGTCCCATTGTCTTGCATTCCATCTTCACACACATAAAATGAATGCTTTTGATATGTTTATCATGCCAAATTTTTCACTCTAAATTTATTTTGTTTATAGCGGCTACATGTCTCCAGAATATGCAATGCATGGACAATTGTCCACAAAAGTGGATGTGTACAGCTTTGGTGTGTTGATTTTGGAAATAATAAGTGGACAAAAGAGCACATCCTTTCATGAATCCAACTACGATGAACATCTGTTGAACTTTGTGAGTTTGGAGCTATGTTTCTTCTCTCTCTCTCTCTCTCTCTCTCTCTCTCTCTGTGTCTCAATCTTTGGTTTAACTTTCATACTATACTTCTTTTCCAGGCCTGGAGAAAGTGGAGAGATGGGACGTCATTGGAAGTGTCAGACATGAGTTTGAGAGATTCTTATACTAGAGAGGAAGTGAGCAGATGTATCCAGATTGCGTTGTCATGTGTACAGGAAGATCCAGCTCGAAGGCCAACAATGCAGGGAATAGTTCTGGTCCTCAACAGTTACTCAGTTAGTGTAGCAATACCTGAGGGGCCTCCATTTTTGGTTCATAGCAGAACTGTTGAGCCCAGCCTTCGATTGGAATCAGATAAGTCTTCTATAAACAAATCAGTCTCAGACTCTGTTGATGAAGCTTCCATTACTCAAGTGTACCCCCGATAGCTCATCTGATATACAATACAAAGACCATATGCTCGCTGATGTTCTGTTTACCCACATCTGGATTCTTGTCAAATCGGAGGAATATTGTTAGGGAAAGAAGGACCTGTCTACTTCTTTGTAGAATAGAGATTTGAAATTAAAAGTTGATATAACTCGGTTCTTCAACTATTAGACTTTACAAAGTTAAAAAATCCATATACGGTGATTATTCTTGTCAATCTTGTGGGACTGATACAAAGTGTCTTCATGTAAATAAGCCTCCTTTGTTAAATCCCCAGGTAATCGATCATTGCTGACCCTTATGGTCAAATTCCATCCCAACTAATAAATTGGAATCATGCGTGTTAGTGTGATTAGAGAGAGCTACCTCTTTTACACTATTATTATTTAAGTACATAAAAGCTAAGTTGGATTAAGCAGATGGCAATACAAGTTGGCCAGAACAGTGAAAAGCAGACGCAGATCATTTCAAAAAATAAATAGAAAATACAATAATTAATTAAAATAGATTTTAATTGAAGGAGCTAATTCCTCTTAATACCATGAATTAAACAAATTAAACAAAGAATATAAGAAATAAAGGAAGCCAGGTAGGAATTTATAGTGGATCCTATTTGCACCTTACATGGTAAGAAGTAGGAACTTTCTGAAAAGAACAACACATCACATCGAACTATCCATTGGCATATTTTAGAATTAGGTCCATGGCATAGTGGCAGAGCTTAAATGTGCTTCTTTGCCTAATCTTTTACATTATTATATATCAATTGCATCGGATTTCTCTAATATATCAGGAAACAGATGGATTTGAGAATTTAGTATCCTGGCATATTTTAGAATTACGTCCATGCCCAGCGGTTTTATCAGATTTGATAAATTATAGACAAATTTAAAGAGTCAATATTATGATTGGGCAAAAAGGAATTAACATTCTGGGTCAATCAGAGGATGCTAGCCACTGCTAGGTAATGGCAATGGAATGTGGATATGAAAAGGAAAGAACCATTAAAAAACACCCCACTAGTTAGGTCATAAAATCCCTACGTCTGTTAAATTTTCTTCTGATTCAGAATATGGATCCCTATTCCCCAGTTGTTCATTTAAATATCAATTAATCATCAAACACCAGCGATATTCCAAATGAATCTTTATCATATTTCCCTTCTTCCTTAGCTTCCTTCAATGTTTCGCCACAATCACCGTGGAAGCAGACGGCGCAGCATATTTAGGAAATAAAGATCCTGTTTGTCAAACACATTTGCTCCGCCAGTGAAAACTTCACTCTCAATAGTCCCTGCCATTTCAACGTCGACACTCTCTTTTCCTCTTTATCTTCTCACGCCACTGGCGTTGATGAATTCTACAACACCACCGTCACCGGAGGCAGTGGAAACGCCAGTGAGGCCATCTACAGCCTTTTCCTGTGTCGCGGCGACGTCACACGTCAGATGTGCAAGCACTGCGTCGAATTAGCGATTCTAAAAATCGCGGCACGATATTTCTACTCGAAAGAAGCCATGGTTTGGTACAACAAGTGCCTAGTTCGGTACTCAAATCGTTCTATCTCTCCGTCTTGGAAGAATGGCGGAGGATTAAACTCGGGAATTTCAGCACGATTCCGGACTCGTCGAATCAAGGTGGCGTCGTGTGGGTGCTGGCGAACACGCTGAACGAGGCAATAACAGAGGCGGCGGACGGTGTGACGGATGGCGAGAAGAAATTTGTGACGAGGACGGGGAAATTGGGGAGTCAGAGTGTACACTCTGGTGCAGTGCTCTCCGGATGTGACGAGCGGGGATTGCCGGAGATGTCTGAGGAATAAGATGGGAGATATTCCGTTGTGTTACCTTGGAAGGGATGGTGGAATGGTTCTGAATCCAAGCTGTAGTCTCATGTTTGGGTTGCGACTCTTCATGTGCCTATAATGGGCCTTATTTGTGTGGGCCAATTTAGTCCATTTTTATGGCGTTAGACTGAGTTAGTTCACTGTACCTCTAAAAACAAAAAATGAATAGATTAGTCCAGGAAAATGGGTTACTCGGGGGAGTGAGTTTCAAATTCTCGCTGACAGAGATATTTGCATTTAAAACCTTGTAAGGAATGAGAAGTGAAGATACCACACTCTGATATCACTGGGGAAGAGAATAAATGGACAAATAATAGCAAAAAAACACTACATTTTACTTAAAAATTTTCAAGGCTCAAATTTATAAATCATTCTCTTTTATTTTATATCAATCATTAAATCTGATTTTATTTAATGTTGGAGTTTCCACATCAGCTCAAGGCCACTCATGGACAACCTAACAACTTCCCTATCAAGTGTAAGTAATGTGGCAAATTCTGCTCTTAAAATGATACGAAGATGGGGAAGGCCGCAGAAGAAGACGACCTACTAGGGAACATGTATACTTTAGTAAAATTGGAGAATATCCTTCACATGATACGAAGAATAAGAAAGCTAACTTAGCCTAACATATATTTTTCAAGTTCCTGGTTGACCTCTCCAACATTCTTCGCTTTATTTGTAGTCATTGGCAGGGATTGGAATGTGAATGTTAGAATGCGCATAAGAATGACATGAATTTAGAATGTGAATGGTAGGGCATATGGATTAGAATTCCAATGTAAACACTAGAATGAGCAGAAGAATGATGTTAACTAAGAGAGTTTTCTAATAGATCTCTTCAATAAGGATTAACCAAAATTTTGAAGGCATGGATTGACTTGACTAGGGACGACTGGTGGCGCAATTGAGGATAGCTTACAAGGCACAGTTGCGAAAGAAAGTGCCTCACGAGGCAAGAAGCAAAATCTATCTCATTCTCGTGGGAGCCGGCAAAGGTATATCCCAACATTGATCAAAGAAAAGTCCCACAAAGAACTACTGATTCATTACGTAACTTAGTCGCCTTAGTTCTCTTCTTCTGATTCTAAATGTGAAATTGTGAATCCCAACTTTGATGCTTTTTAAAAAATAAAAATAAAAATAAAAAGAACTCGAGAAAAAAGAAATGGAGAGAAGAGTTGTGAGTCTTGTTTTTCATCTAAAACATCAAGCACTAGCAATCCGAAAAGACTGTCCCTTACCTACATCTCATAATCCACTTCTTCCTTAGCTTCCTTCCATATTCCTCCATAGCCATTGCCGTAGCAGACGCCTCTGTTTATTTTGGTCACAAAGATCCTCCTGTTTATCTCTACCACTTCTGCTTAACCGATAAAAATTCACTCCCAATAGTCCCTACCATTCCAATCTCAACTCTCTCCTTTCCTCCTTATCTTCCCACGCCACCGGCGACACTGAATTCTGCAACTCCCCTGTCACCAGAGGTGGGGGAAATGCCAGCGAGGTCGTCTACAGCCTCTTTATGTGCCGCGGCGACCTCACAAGTCGGATGTGTAAAAAATACCTCCAATTGGCGATCCAAAAAATCGTTTAGTATCACGAGTGCTTAGTTCGGTATTCTAACCACTCCGTCTTTTCCACCTCGGAGGAATGGCTGAGGTTTAAGGTCGTGAATTATAACACGATTTCGAACTCGTCAGAGCAACGTAGTGCCGGGTGGGTACCGGCGAACACGCTGAACGAGGCGCTGGCGGAGGCGGTGGATGGTGTGGCAGTCGGGGAAAAGAAATTTACGACGAGGATAGGGAAATTGGGGAATCAGAGGGTGTACATTTTGGTTCAGTGTTAGCCGAATCTGAGGAGCGGAGATTGCAGGAGATACCTGATAGATATGATGGGGGATATTCAGTTGTGTTGCCTTGGAAGAGACGGCAGAATGGTTCTGTGTCCTAGCTGTAGTCTCATGCTCTGTTCGCAACTCTTTTACAGAGAAGTTGAAGTTGTACCCGCGTGTCCGCCTGGGCGTGTCAATCCTGATTCTGTCCCCACAGACGGGGGCAAAGGAGACTTGGGCTCAGCACCCGCAAGTAAGGTTTTTAATCTATAGATGACAGTAGCCATTATACATACTGCATGGAAAATAACCTCGACGAATGGATGGTGTATCCTCCTCCAGAAACGGTACAGCATGTCAAATGCACGTACATATAAAATAGGGAGAATTATAGTTAGATTTCACACAAGAGAATTAATTACTGTAAGGTCCATTAACAATTGAACTATTAAATTAAACTGCATTAATAATTGATTGTGTTGTCAATATAGTTTAATTCAGTTGTTAAAAAACTTTGTAATAATTAATTTCTTTATATAAGTCGTTAATATAATTGTTCTTATAAAATATCCATTGTGTTGGCGATACGTGTGTGTTCCTATAGTCATTTGGTCTCATGTTCGACAATGTTCATCAAATGATACAGTGGGCTAATTCACCACACCTACCTATACGTCACCTACAATGGGCATATATATATGTTGTGTCCCCTTCCCCAACCAGTAACCACCAATATGCCTATACTCTTTCAAGCTTGAGGATTGTACAAATGCCTAAATGTTGTGTCCCATTCCCCAACAGCCAATTTGTCCAGACATTTTTAAGTTTCACTAGTACAAACAAAATTCCCAATTTAAGCCAGAATTTCGCAACCTACAGAGATTATAGCCTGAAAATCTGTCACATGCTTACAAAACAATATCTTTAGTTTACGCATCTAAACCGTGCAGGAGGCAGGAAAGTCGGATCAATCATTATCATGGTGGTCGTCCCTGTTGTTATTGTTGTAGTCCTGCTGTACTGTTTTGTCATATATTTGCTACGAAGAAAGGCAAGGAAGAGATATGCCTTCCTCAAAGAAAATTATCTGTTGTGTAGAATAAGGGGGAAAAAAATCAAACCAACCATGCTCTTCATATATGTATTTTTTATGCTTGAATTGATATACTTATTTGGAAAATACATACATGCATTGGTTTAGTTGGAACTGAATGTACTACTTTGGAGTCTCTGCAATTCGATTTCGCTACAATTGAAGCTGCAACAAACAGGCTTTCAGCTCAGAATAGAATAGGTCAAGGAGGATTTGGAAAAATTTACAAGGTCAGAAATTATCTGATGCAAATAATGTAAATGCTAACATTTTTTTCACAATTATTTAATATCCAATACTAATGACTAATCCATGGTTGAATATTACTGTAATGCTAATTTTTTTGCTTCTGCATGGTCTTAGGGTACTCTTTCTAATGGACAAAAAATAGCTATGAAGAGACTTTCTGCAAGCTCCAAGCAAGGAACAGTGGATTTTAAGTAGGAGATTCTATTAATAGCTAACTTCAACAAAGAAATCTAGTGACGTTGTTGGGATTTTGCTTACGAGAGCATGAAAAGATACTTATTTATGAATTCGTACCCGATAAAAGCCTTGACTACTTTGGTATGGCATTTATCCTTTGCTCTAAAGTTTTTATTTTTTGCCATCAACACAGTTACTCTATAAGTTTAACACCTTTATTTTGTTACTGTTAAAAATTTACAGATTCTCAAAACCAAATATTGTTAATTGGTTCAAGTGCTTTAAAATCATAAAAGGGATTGCTCAAGCAATTTTTTATCTTCATAAGCATTCACATTTTAAAATTACACATCGTGATCTTAAATTCAATAATATTCTATTAGATGGAAATATGAATCCAAAGCTTCTGATTTTGGAATGGCAAGAATGGTGGCAATAGATTGAAGAATAGTTGGGACATAATAAGTTCGTGAATGTTGATTTACCGCACTTCATCATTTTGTTTTGTTTTGTTTCTTAAGTTCACTTCCAATATCGTTGTTTCTCATTTTGGCTAGTACTGTTTATTTGGATACTGACTTTGTTTCTTTCACAGGGGTTACACGCTTCCCAAGTATGCAACTTTTGGAAGATATTCAAAAAAATCAGATATCTTTATTTTTGAAATCATGATTTTGGACATTATAAGTGGGAAGAAAAATTCTAGTTCTTATGAATTACCCTGCATTGATGGCTTGCTGACACATGCAAGTACTATGCACCATATTAGTTTGTTACTTTTTATGACTTTTAACTCAAACATATCTTTATGAGATGAAACATGCGTGTTCAGTCTCGTTAAATTTCAATAGATGCAGATATAAATAAGTAGAAGCAACTCAGAACGCCATCGTGTCTGCTATATTCAATATAATTATATCATCACTGATGCATTTATAGAAACTTACAGGAAGAATACCTCCAAATCTTGACATGCATGTGTACTGTGAATATTTTGCAGGTTTGGAAACAATGGAGGGGTGAGACGCCATTAGAAATAATGGATCCAAAGTTGAGAGAATCTTGTTGTGAAACAGAAGTGATTAAGTGCATCCAGATTGGGTTACTGTGTGTTCAAGAGAAAGCAGAGGATAGGCCACCTATGTCAAGAGTTGTTTCATATTTAAGTAATCTTTCAGTGGAATTGCCATTTCCTCGCGAACCCGCATTTCTTGTACGTGGTAGGATGGAGCCAAATTGGAGTCATCGATCTGCCAACAATTCCATTCCATCTTCTATCAATGAAATGTCTATAACTAGATCTTTTCCTCGTTTGTATGAAGCTTTATACTTTGGAATATAATCGTCGTCATATTTCCTTATCTATTTCTTTCTACTTTTTGGAACATGATATTTGAATCATCATAATCTCGGTTTAGATACTATCAGATCAGCCACAATACAACTAACTTCTGTGTTGACCGCAAAATTAGTTGAAGCGGGGTTTGGTGAGTTTTGCAAATTACCCAACGTCATCAATTTTGAATTTTAGAAAATGGAAGAACTTAAAGAATCAATATTCCGTTTGGCCAAAGAGACGCAATATTCTGGGTCAATTTTCAAGTGCTGGATTCATACCACAAAACTGTGGCCTAATTAATTCTCTTCTTGCACACACAAATTATTACATATTATTATAAGATATGTCATTCATGCATATTCTAATCAGAGAGAATTCAATGTGTGTGAGCGATGACAGAGAATGTGTATTTATTAAAAGTTAAGAAAATATTGAAAAAATTAATCATTTGATCATTATAGTTTTGACTTAATTGTAACTGAATTTTTAAATTTTGACTCATTGTAAGTCAGTTCTTAAAGTTTTAGTTTAGTTATAAATCAGTCATTGAATTTTACCTCTTGCAATTTAATCCTTGAAATTTTAATTTCTTAAATATTGATTTCTATATTTTAAAAATTAAAATTATAAAGATTAAAAATATTTTAAAGTTTATTAATAATAAACTTTAAAATATTTTTAATCTTTATAATTTTAATTTTTAAAATATAAGGACCAATATTTAAGAGGTTAAAACTATAGGGTTTAAATCGTTAGAGGCAAAGTTCAAAGATTAATTTACAATCGAGTCAAAACTTTAAGAATTGAGTTATAATGAGTCAAAATTTAGAGATTGAGTTACAATTCAGTTAAAATTAGAAGATTTAAATGATGAATTTTTTTAAAAATATTTTATTTAACTTAGGATATTATTGTCAACCACTGTGCATGTCCTGACTCTGAATATGAAGGCCAACTTCTCACCTTGATGTCAGTTATTCATCAAACTAAGAATATGCCTTACCTCCACTTCACATTCCATCTCTTTCTCAGCTTCCTTCCATATTCCGCCGCAGCGATGGCTGAAGCACATGACGGTGTTTATTTTCACACTAAAGAGCCTCCCGTTTATCTCTACCACTTCTGCTCAACCAACAAAAACTTCACTCCCAATAGTTCCTACCATTTCAACCTCAACACTGTCCTTTCCTCTTTATCTTCTCACGCCACCGGCGCCGCTGAATTCTACAACACCACAGTCAACGGAGGAGACGGAATCGCCACTGAGGCAATCTATGGCCTCTTCCTGTGTCGCGGCGACATCACACGTCAGATGTGCAAAAAATGCCTCGAATTGGCGATCCAGAGAATTGCGTCGCGCTGTTTCTACTCTAAAGAGGCCATCGTTTGGTATCACGAGTGCTTAGTTCGGTATTCGAATCGTTCCATCTTCTCCGCCTTGGAGGAATGGCCGAGGCTTAAGCTCGTGAATATCAGTACGATTCCAAAATCACCAGAGCAACGCAGCGTCGGGTGGGTGTTGGCAAACACGTTGAACGAGGCTCTGGCAGAGGCGACGGATGGTGTGGAGGCAGGCGAGAAGAAATTTGCGACGAGGACGGGAAAATCGGGGAATCAAAGGGTGTACGCTCTGGTGCAGTGCTCGCCGGATCTGAGGAGCGGAGATTGCCGGAGATGTCTGAGGGATATGATGGGAGATATTTCGTTGTGTTGCCTTGGAAGAGAGAGCGGGATGGTTCTGTATCCTAGCTGCAGTCTCATGTTTGGATCGCGACTCTTTTACAGAGAAGTTGAAGTCGTGCGCCGTCGTCCTGCTCGTGTTCCACCTGACTCTGTTCCGATTGATGGTGGCCAAGGAGACCCAACGCGGGAAGGTAAAGTTTCTAATTTAGTTAGTAATTATCCCATTTTTTGACAACAATCTTTCAAATTGCAACTCATGTTTCAAAATCAACCAGAAACATTGGAAAATTTCAAAATCTGTTTAATCCGTTCATTTAGTTACATGAGTTTAATATTAATCTACTGAAATTTGACGTTTATTATATAATATTTGTAAATGATCTTATAAAATTTAACGAGGAATTTTGATTTTTTTTTTCAGCTTTCACATATAAGTTATAAAAGATCAGTTGCAAATTTTTATAGACCATATTTGTCAAATTGAAATTATTGGAGCATCACATTGGCTCTTTATAGTTCAAGAAACTGTGATTTTTTTTTTTTGGAATTTTAGAATCATTCTGTCCGAAACTAAAATTGAATTATGTTTTTTTTTAATCTTAACATGTCATTTTTCCATAACCCGGGAATGGAGGAGCATCGGCTCCCTATCAAATATCACAAGGGGAATTTCCTTCTTGAGATCACTTTTAAAAACCATAATTATTGGCAAAGATTTTTTTTATTGACCTCTAGTAATTTTTTATTCAAAATTTTGTTATTTCCAATTAAAAAACAGCCATTTTCAAGTCAACATCTTTAAACTACAGCCATTTTCCTAGATAAAAGAATCTTGTGACCAACGACTATACCAATATATAGTTATATATTTTTTGACCAGTCTCAATAGTTTTATACTTACATATACATAATACATAGGATGGGAATGACGAATGAGGGAGACAGACGGATAAAAGAATCTGAACCATTTTTAAAAAAAAAGAAAAAAGAAAAAACCTATGACCAACTACCAAGCGAGCAGATGGGTTGATCGGATCAACTTGATCCTTTAAAGTTTAGAGCAAATAACATATTTTGCATAATGATTTGAAATATCATTGCTTGTTTTATATTGTGTAAAGGTTTTTATTTTATATTTTGAGACTTTGACAAGTAACTTTTGTTTGCTTATGACGGCATAAATTTAATGGTTGAAGGAGAGTTTCGAGGGATCAGGGTTACTCCGGTGTATCTATATCTATCGATTGTTCAAATGAAATGTACTGCAGAGGAGTAGATTTGTTACAAATAAATTTTTTTTAAAAAAATTAAAAACAGCATGGATGCTTTAGCTGTGTTTGAGCAATTATAGAGGGCAGCCATGGTAAAGAATCAAATCCTATGGCCAAAAATAAAATACATAACCAAATCCTTGGGTTGAGATTTTAAGTTTGAGTATTTAAGCTCATTGTTGGGATTTTTGCCTATTTGATTTAATTATTTGTTGCAATTTTCTGCCATGTCATTAATATTTTTTTAAAAAAAAAACTTTGTGCTGGGTCGAACAAGACAATTGTTTAATCCTATTGCTTGGTCAAAATCAGCCGTTCGTCCCATGTTCAGCCAATGAGACAGTGGGATGGTCAAAAAACACGTGATTGCCCAAAAAAAAAAAAACAACGGAGAAAAGAAACAAATGAGACAATAATGTATGGAGTTCAATTCACTTGCATCATGACCTATTTAATTGTTTTATTTTTTTAATGCAAGAAAATTAATTATTGATGTAATTACTTGAAATTAAGTTATTATTAAAAAAATTTAATAAATCCTAAATAAAGAATTTCCTATAAATAAATCTTGACAATATATTGAAATATTCTCAAGTCTTTTTAAATTTAGTTGTAATTATTTCTAACACATGCAAAAAAAAAAAATCCAAATTAAATGCCCTTTAACAGTTGACCAGTGGCTAGCTGGTCAAAGAAAATAACATTTTTATTTTATTAGTTTTTTATTGAAATATTATTGATGACATATGACCATATGAGGATAGAATAGAATACATTCCATTCATGGTACATTACTTATAGCTTTTTTTTTCCTTGAAAATGATATTTGGCATATATATTCATATGATATTTATTCAAAATATGCATGTATAATGTGATTATTTTTATACACTGTAAATGTGATTTTTAAACAAGGCATAATATTATAATGTGATTTTTAAACCAGTTCGATCGTCGCCTGCAGAGTAAAATTGTTTGGTTCAACCAATTGAACCAAATTTGCCTTTGGACCGAATTAAACTAGGCTATTTTCATAAGACCGGATTTAACCTAGAACTCGAGGGCGGGTTAGATTCACGATTTCTCTTCTCTAATATCTAATTGCCTTCTGTCTTTTCTTCTTTAATCTCTAATCTCTCCTCCATAGCCCACACTTAATCTCTTACTTCTCCTCCAACCTCTACCTTTAGCTCTAGCAGTCAAGGAATCTAACCTTTGGTGTTAAGATTCCAAGCACCATTGACAAATTAATATTTATTTATATATTTGTGTACATAAATATTATATTTATTTAATTTTTATGTCATTAGTTCAACTGTCAGTTTAATTAATTGAATCATGAAAACCACAATGTATTGCTCTTTCTGATTCGATGTCCGGTAAAGCATTGCTTTATCGCTATTAACTAGAATTAGAGCACAAATGAGGGTTCTAGAATGGGCATAATTATGGTCTGTCTGGTAACATGGAATTGAAGCTTGGGAAATGGAATTGGCAAAGGAAGTAAAGAATTAGCCCATTCGGTATGATACAATCCAATTTCAAGTGAAACCCAATTCTATCAAAAATAATGGAACCAACTTCCTTGCCTACCCTGATGGAACTGGAGCACTTTCAATCAGTGGTGGAGGGAGAGGGACCAACAAGGCCATGACCCTTCAATTTTTTAAATTTTTTTTATATTATATAGGTGTTATATACTTTCAGCCCTCACTACTACAAAATAAGTTTACAGGAGCGCTTTTTTTTTTACTTTAGGGAGCGCTTTTGAAGCGCTCTCGTATCGAGCGCTCCGAAATGTATAGGAGCGCTTAAAAAAAGCGCTCCTGTATATACGCTATACGGGAGCGCTTTTCGAAAAGCGCTCCTGTAAGGGAGCTACATACGGGAGCGCTCTCTACAAGAGCGCTCCCGTATGCAACCATACCGGAGCGCTTTTATAAAGAGCGCTCCCGTATGAACCATATAGGAGCGCTCTCTGGAAGAGCGCTCCTGTATGTTACTTTACAGGAGCACTTTTCAAATGAGCGCTCCCGTATATTACTTTAATTTTTTTTAAATCAGATTTTTTGAAATTTCTCCTTTTACGTCTCTTTAATAATGACAAATCATAATATCAAAAACTAATTTAAAAATAATATTAACATAAAAATTTATATACAAGAAAAGAATTTGAAACTGATACAAAAATTTTAATTTCCTAACTAACCTAGTTTAATTTCTAACAAGCCTAACAAATGAAACTATTGTTATTTTTCTAACATTGAAATCTAACTTCCTATCACAAACAGTCAATAATATATTCTGACAACTCTTCAACTAAATCTTCTATTTGCTCCATAGTAAAATACGAACATCTTACTCCAACAAAATACTACACAAGATATGAAAGCAATATATAAGGAATTAACATTATATCAACTTAATTTTAAAGTTTTTGACTTACATTTTCAGGAATGATCAACTCTTGTTGTGTGATTACTTCTCTCATAAACTTCATAACATAGTATCCACACTCCCAACCTTGTAATTGTGTAGGTACCTATAAAACAATAAAAGATGTCATTATCAAAATATGGTGAAAATAAATTCTAACTTAATTTAAAATACTTCAGCGATGAAGTTATATATATGAATCATTTCATCAAGACGGTCAACATCATATGTCCCACTATCACGATCAAATGTTGAGTAGCTCGCACTATCCTTCCAATCATTTGCATCATTCCTTGTCTCCCCATGCATGGTTCAACAAGTATAAGTTGGATCAATCCCATTACAGATTAAATGATCTTTCAATTTTATTGGCTTTACTCTTTTTCCATAGCAACATTTCAAACAAGGACATATGACTCCAAGGGGGTCTTGATCACAACAAAATGCAAATTCAATGAATTCATCCACACCATCCCAATATTCTCTAGATAGTTGATTAGCCGACATCCACTTATGATCCATATCACTAATATGATTATCAAAATTCAATAAACAAAAGACTTAGATTTCTATAAAAAAAATTCAACAACATCTTCCTTAAAAGAAGAACCTCCCAAATGATCAAACAATCAAATTACACAACACAATACATTTAAACTCAAAAAATTAATTCATCCAAATAAAAATTTAGTAGCATAATGCATCTAAATTCTGTCAATCAATTGTAATTTAATTAATAACAATAATCTCCCTTAAAAGTATATTTCATAAATAAAATAAAAATGTTCAAGTAGTTTCCTCAACTTTAATCTAATTATCAACTACAAATATTCCATAATTCTAATATAAATAATTCCAATTCATATATTATCTATAATATTGATTATTAAAAAAATATATGTAAAATTTATTCTCAAATATATATAAATATATCAATATATTACATTATAAATTAATTATTAAAAAAATACCTTCACAGTGTAGTCTTCACGGCAGAAAACGGAAGTCTTCACGGCAGTAGCGGAGGTCTTTGCAGCGTTGCTTCCTCGACTGTACAGCAATGACACACGGCTACAACGGAGGTCTTCACGGTGTCGCTTCCTCCGGTGTACAGCAGCCGCACAAATCTGGAATAGCAATGTAGATCTAGAATAGTGATGCAGGAGATGGCGGTGACGGCGATGGCAGCGCAAAAACAGAGACAGATGGCGCGACATGACACAGAAATGAACAAACAGCGATGAACACTAATCTGGAACAATGAACAGCAGCAGACGATGATTTGGAACAACGAACAGTGGCGAACGACGATCTGGAACAGTGAACAGCGACGGAAGATAGACTGATACAGCGATGATCTAGAACTCGTTGGGAACGCACAACCTCAGCAAATGAGAGAGAGGTTTGAAAGAAACTCATAAATAGGGAAAAGAAAACTGACAGGAGGCAGAGATATAAAAGACCACCTCTTCCGAAGCGCTCATGATTGAGCGCTCCGGAAGAGGTGGTCTTCCGGAGCGCTCTTCAAAGAGCGCTCCGGAAGATCTCTCTTTCAGAGTGCTCTTTGACGAGTGCTCCAGAAGAACAATTCTTTCGAAAGAGTTGATCTTCCGGAGCGCTCTTTGAAGAGCGCTCCGGAAGATAGTCTTCCGGAGCGCTTAACTACGAGCGCTCCCGAAGGTCTTTTTAAATTTTTTATAATATTTTATTTATATTAATTAGGAGCATTATCTTATTGAAAAGCCCTGACATACAGGAGCGCTTTTCTAAAAAAGCGCTCCGATAAATTCCGCATTTACATTTTAGAGCGCTTTTTAAAGAAGCGCTCCTAAATACCCGCTCCTAAAGATATATTCTGTAATAGTGCCTCCTAAAATTTATAAAAATTTTATAGTATATATTTTTTTTTAATCATGACCTTTTATTTTTAAATCCTGACTCCGCCTCTACTTCCAGAGAACTACCATTTTTATGACCATTATATCCATTATAATTTAATGTATTGACAACCATGCCTTTCTCATTTTTCAGTCCAATCCATTCATTTCTCCTTCGTTGTCTCTTCTTTCCTTTCTCAGTGTCCACCTCCGCCATCACCACCTCCGCCATCACCTCCTCCTTCATCTCCTTCTCCTTCCCTATTCCATGCTACTCACTAACCCCCCCCAGTGGCGATGATTCTCTAGCAATAGAGCTTCTTCAATCTCAACCCTCCTTCGATCTACTTCTTTGATCTCGAATTAGAAGAAAAGGGATGGGAGGAGGAAAAACGTACAATGGGGGCGGCGGGTGTCGACGAGAAGGGTGGAAGGAGAAAAGTATGGCGGAGGACGACTGCATCTCTGAGGGATGTGGTTGAGAGATCTCTATCTTAAAGAAAGTCTAGACTCGGTCAAATCCAAGCTAAGGCAAATAAAAAAAAATAAAAATTATCTTTTTCTGGGAAGATTTTTGTTCGAATAGCGATAATTGCAAAGGAAAGCATCTAGATTCTTTTGTTTCTTTCAAATATACTTTTCGTTAGTTACCATTCCAAGCACTAGTGATGATTATTTTTTAGTCTACCCCATTTTCTGGTCTTTGATCTCCTTTTACTTAATTTCTGGACAATTTCCGGCAGTGGTAGGTGGTCAGATGAAGGTGTTAGACGGCGATTCTAACATCCAGTGGACAGGACGATGCTGGTGCTCCGAAATTTTTTTCCCTTAAATTTAAGGGGTATTTTAGTATTTTCAAAATAAAAAAATTATATCAAATAAAATTTATATCTCATTCCATCATGGTACCAAACATATATACTTTTAAATCTCAGTTCTGCTTCCACTTCCAATTTTATTGAAAACAATTCCTTGTACCGAACGAGGCATTAAGAATGACATCAACTTAGAAAGTTATCTTTGAACATCTTTATATTTTTATAAACAAAAATACTTATTTAGTCCTAGTTACTAACAGATCTCTTTATAAAATAGGGATCAACTGAGTGCATGTTTAATATCAATTATAGAGTATGGCATTGGAAATTAAGAACCAATTTATGATATGAGGACGTGAAAGCTGATCCATAAGCAACTCATAGAGAGATTAATTATAGGCCATAACTTTTATCAAATATTTACAAATTAATATATTTAGTTACGCATTTGCACACTTACTGCTGAGTAGGAGCGAGGACAGTCAGACCACGGATCATTATCATGGTGGTCATCCCAGTTGTTCTCACAGTCCTGCTGTTCTATTTTGTCATCTATTCGCTAAGAAGAAAAGCAAGGAAGAGATATGCGATTCTCAAAGAAAACTGTACGTAATGTGAATAAAATAACCAGTATTCTCTTCATGTTTTTCAATTATATATGCTTATCATTAAGATGCTTATTTTGAAAAATATGTGTACACACACACACACACACACACACTGGTTTAGTTGGAACTGAATGTACTACTTTGGAGTCACTACAATTCGATTTTGCCACAATTGAAGCAACAACAAATAGGTTTTCAATTCGCAACAGGATAGGCCGAGGAGGATTTGGGGAAGTTTACAAGGTGAGAAATAATTGACTTGATATGTATATATTTATTGCAAACGATAACTTTTTTTAACAAGTAATGTGATATGTACCTTGTTGTAAATTTATGGTCATAGGGTACTCTATCTAATGGACAAGAGATAGCTGTGAAGAGACTTTCTGCAAGCTCTGCGCAAGGCATGATGGAATTTAAGAATGAGATTTTACTGATAGCTAATCTTCAACATAGAAACCTAGTGAGACTGTTGGGATTTTGCTTACAAGAGCATGAGAAGATACTTGTTTACGAATTCATACCCAATAAGAGCCTTGACTACTTTTTGTTTGGTCTGTCATTCGCTCTTTACTCTTGAAGATATTTCTTTATCCAGTACTAACTTTAATTGAAGTTTAACATTTATTTTGTCATCTACTTGTTGATATGTGAAAATTTACAGATTCCCAAAAGAAAAAGCTATTAAATTGGTCTAAGCGCTTTAAAATCATCAAAGGAGTTGGTCGGGCAATTCTTTATCTTCATGAACATTCACGCCTTAAAATTATACATCGTGATCTCAAACCTAGCAATATATTATTGGATGAAAACATGAATCCCAAACTTTCTGATTTTGGGATGGCAAGAATGGTGGCAATAGATCAAGAGCAAGAATGTACAAGAAGAATAGTAGGGACATAGTAAGTCATTCGAATGTTTATATTTCCCCCCCTTGTTTCTCCTTAGTGCAGACGTCTAAAATATTTTGGCTTTATTTTGTTAGGATATATATATTGATTTTGTTGCTTATGCATGCAGCGGTTATATGCCTCCTGAGTATGTAAATTTTGGAAAATATTCAGAGAAATCAGATATTTTTAGTTTTGGAGTCATGATCCTTGAGATTATATGTGGAAGGAAAAATTCTAGATCTTATGAATTGCCTAACATGGATGGCCTTCTGACTTATATGAGTACTATCACTAATACTAGTTTGCTACCTTTAATGACCGTTAAGAACATGTCATGAGTTAAAATAGGCAAGTTTAATGTTTGTCAAATTTCAATAAATACTGATATAAATATGCTGAAACTATTGAGAACGCCGCTATGTCTATTATTGATCGTTATATCATTACTGATGCATAGAAACTTATAATTAAGATGAAATCGCAAATCATGACACATATATATGATACTCTGAATATTTTTGCAGGCTTGGAAGCAATGGAAGTGTGAGACACCAATGGAAATAATGGATCCGAATTTGAAAGAATCTTGCTGTGAAACCGAAGTGATTAAGTGCATCCAGATTGGGTTACTGTGTGTTCAAGAGAAAGCAGAGGACAGGCCTCCAATGTCAAGAGTTGTTTCTTATTTAAGCGATCTTTCAGTAGAATTACCATTTCCTCGCGAACCCGCATTTTTTGAACTTGGTAGGACGGAGCCAGATTCGGGTCATCGATCTGCCAACAATTCCATTCCATCTTCTATCAATGAAATGTCTATAACTAGATCCTTTCCTCGTTAGTATATGAAGTTTTAATTTACAGTTTGAAATTATTTTCAAATTTCCTTATTGTTGCACGGAATATATTTCTTTTTCCCTCTTTGGAACATGTGTGATTTCAATCATTTTTACCCTTATTGTTAAGGGCAAACATGGAATTGTATGTCATATTTTAATGAGGTTAAGGAGAAAATTACTTTTCTTAAGAAAGGTGAAATAGTTAGAAATGTTCAATTACATATAGGACCGAAAACTTTTTGCACTTAAATCAAAGATGATTATATGTTCAAGAAAATCCAGCAGCAATGCCTTCCATTGCCACAATTGTTTCATATCTTAGTAATGATCCAATTACATTGTCATTGCCACGTGAACCCGCATTCTTTTTGCATGGTCCAAGTTGGATGGAGACCAACATTTGGAGTAATGAGTCAAGTTCAGATCAACATAATCTTGAAGAATATAGGGACAACTCTAAACCTTAGATATTCCAATCATCTTCCAGGAGTCAAGGTCTTAAATGAAACAATGAGTAGCATTAAAGATAAAGAAACAGTAAAGGTGAAAAGTGTGTTTAGAAACAAAAATCAAATGATAGTCATTTTGAGGAATAAACAAAACATTAATAAAATAAAAATTAAAGGAAAGATAAATGGTTTCAGAATGATAGACCTGAATAATAAAATCATCAAGTAACAGAATAAAAATAGAAAAAATAGAAACTAACTTAAAAAAATGATCAACAGAAGAACATATATGATCGGCCATGCCACTATCAATGATCAAGGCAAACGAAAGGCGTTTACAAGAAAGTAAGTGAGATATACCTAGTGTCAAAGATGCATTGAGAGAAGGAGTGGAAGGAGAGATAATCACAAGATTAACTTTTGCTGAGGGAGTTGGTGAAGCAACAAATGCAACAGTCTACATGAGAGTGAGAAGCCTATTATATTGATCCTGAGTAAACAATAAAGAGGCATAAGATAAGGACTAAGCAATTCCTTCAACAGGAGAGTAGCCGTAATGTTGGAAGGCGAAACCATGATTTTGGGAGCCTTATCAATTTCGATATGAGATATATTTATATGAAAAAAAAGATCTATCAAAGAATAAAATAAAGATTTATCAAAGAATAAAATAATAATAGAAAACAAAATAGTTATAACCAAATTAATTATAACTGCCCTAACTATGTTGAATAATATATACAATTAAAAATCTAATATTGTCCTATGTTAATACTATACGTTTAGAGTTAATTCCAACATATTTGAATCTCAATCTCCCCTCCCCAATCAAACACGTATGGCAACGCAAGGGATGAAATTGGAACTTCAATCATTAAATCACACACTCACGCGCACAGGATCAACAAGAAGAGTTTGAAGCTTCTCACCTTAATTATTAATGATCAAGAAGGGAAGGAAAAGGAAGAAGTCGATGAAACAAGGGAGAAGGGAACTTGTGATTCAAGCTTTCAATAACGGCGAACCACTCCTCATTCACTCTTCGGTGACATACATATAGAACAGAGAGAGAAAGGACCCAAATGCACCACACAACACGAACACAACGGCAACCTTGTACTTATGAAGAAGAAGTCGTCAGATAAACAAAGAAGAATAGGGGAGGAAGAATGAAACGTTTCAAGTGCACCCACAGTGACCAGGGTCATTGCGTTGGTGGAGGGAGGACAAAGACGGAGAAGGAAGAAGATGAGAGATGCAAAGGATTTAGGGTTCAAAGTTTCCGGCTCCTTTTAAGAAAGAATCCTAGAGAAAGTGAAATAAAAAAATCTAATTCTATAATAGTTTTTTAAATAGAGGGTGATTTGGTAACTTCACCGAATATTGGTAATGGCAGGATTCAAACCAAGAAGGAAACCGGTTCATGGGTTATTAGCACAATCTCCACTAAAGTAACTTTCTAGATTGCTAAATTTATTCCAAAATTAATAAAAATATATTTAAAAACTTTATCATAGATTTTAATTTTACTTAAAATTTCTGAGTTATTACATTCTCAAAATGGTGAAATATTAAGAGGAATGCTTCATTTTCATGAATATTTTCATCTTAAAATTATACGTCATGATTTGAAACCAAGTAATATTTTATTAGATGATAAAATGAGTTCTAAAACTTTAGATTTTGGACTGGCTAAAATGGATGGTAGCTATATATCAATGCAAATAAGGATATAAATAGAATTGTTGGAATATAATAAGTTTTAAATTGACTTAGAAAAGTTTGCCTTTCAATTTATGAGTTTAAATTTCTAGATGTACTTATCAAATAAAATTTTATAATTGATATATTCTAGCGTTATACGTCTGAGTTTGTAATGTTTAAACAATTCTGAAACATCAGATGTTTTAAATTTTGGAGTTATAATTTTGAAAATTATTAGTAGAAAGAAGAAAAGTGGTCGTGATCAATCACAATATATGCTGATGGTCTCTTAAGTCATGTAAGTCTAACAAAGTATATTTCGTGTCAATATTTCTTATGCAATCATCCCATCCTTCAGATTCGAAGAAAAGATATTTTACCGATATTGTATAAGTTAATAAAAGAATTTAGATTCAAGAACTCGTATTAGAGATCGTATTTCTCTTGCAACAGGAAATCATTAGGACTTGTCTCCTTTTCAAAAATATATGGACAAAATTTTGAAGTAAACATTCTGAAAGAGAAAGTGGCAAAAGGAGAAAAGGAAAAGAAAAAAAAATTAAAGCACACAGAAGAAACTCACAGTCACACTTGTCTGTTTCACCCACACCTCACCCCTGTTTCTGTTGTTAGAGAAGCTGTTACGTAGTTGGTTAAATCATAAGCATTGCAACTAATTAAGTTATAATTCAGTTACTTATCAATTAGCACACGTGTACAATGACTGAGCTATGAGGATACAAGTACCTGTACAGAAAACAAGAGTGAAAGTAGAAAACATTTTGGCTCATCATCACTCACTGACCTAAAGCAGCGCAAGAAGCCCCTCACGATGGAGAGAAGGCTACGCTCTCACTAGGAAGAGATTTTTTTCTCCATGATACACATATGACAATCTAACCAACGTAAATTTTTAATTTGATCATTCAAGTGATGAATGACATGGAGCTAGGCGGCAATGAGTGTACTGAAGCAATTCCGAACCATTGTATGTTTGCTGTTAGCTGGTGGGGTCATTGGTGAGGCTGGTTTCTTAACGACTAGCTTTCAGTGTGCCTCTTTTTTTTTTCCTTGAGGACGATCAAGTAATCAATAAATGATTGAGAAAGTAGGCAAAAGGACATTCATAGATGACAGATTGTAGTAAGTGACTTATGAGCTGGGAATCTCCGTTCCTACTGGGCCATCATAGTGCTGTCAAAACTGATTAAGAACATATCCGAGTGTCGGAGCTTTTAGTTATAGATTATTTGATTTTGCAGTGAGGTGGAGTCCAATTTGATGGCTGCAGTACAGTGAATGGTATCGTAGCAGCTGGATGATAGTAGTCGGGTAGCCTTTGTTAACTGATCTTTGAAATTTCTTCAACTTATTTTCAAGATAGGGGCATGACCACGTAAGACGTAACCAACAAAACCCCATTGCTTTTTTCCCCACTCAAATGGATGTAAAGCAATGATAGTTGAAATTTATGTTGCTAATAAGTAGGATAAATGGCAAATATAAATGTGAGACACTACTACAGAATATATCTTTAAGAGCAGATATTTAGGAGCGCTTTTTAAATAAGCGCTCTAAAATGTGAATGCAGAATTTACCGAAGCACTTTTTTAAATAAGCGCTCCTGTATGTCAGGCTTCTCAATAAGATAACGCTCTTAATTAATATAAATAAAATATTATAAAAAATTTAAAAATACCTTCGGGAGCGCTCGTACTTAAACGCTCCGAAAGATACTGTTTAGAGCGCTCATTCACGAGCACTTCGGAAGAGTGCTTGCGGCCTTTATTTATCTCCCGTCAGTTTTTTTTTTCTCCATTAAGTTTCTTTCAAACCTCTCTCTCTTTTGCTGAGGCTGTGCGTTCCCAACGAGTTCCAGATCTTTGCTGTATCAGTCTATCATCACCGCTGTTTACTGTTTCTTTCAAGAGCGCTGTTCACTGTTCGCTGTTTGCCGCTCGTCCGTCTTTGTGTAGCGCATCTGTCTCTGTTTCTGCCCTGCCATCGCCGTCACTGGCATCTCCTTCGCCATCACCGGCATCTGTCCGCTGAGTGCTGTTCGCTGTTTGCTGTTTGCTGTTCCAGATCTGCATTGCTGTTGCAGATATGTGCCACTGCTGTACACCGGAGGAAGCGACGCCGTGAAGACCTCCATTGCCACCGTGCGTCACTGCTGTACAGCGGAGGAAGCGACGTTGCTGTTGCTGTGAAGACCGCCGTTTTCTGCCATGAAGAATACACTTTGAAGGTATTTTTTTAATAATTAATTTATATATATTTGAGAATAAATTTCATATATATTTTTTTAATAATCAATATTATAGATAATATATGAATTGAAGTTATTTATATTAGAATTATAGAGTATTTGTAGTTGATAATTTAGATTAAAGTTGAGGAAACTACTTGAACATTTTTATTTTATTTATGAAATATACTTTTAAGGGAGATTATTGTTATTAATTAAATTACAATTGATTGACAGAATTTACAATCCATTCTTCCCTGTGATTTATTATCTTGATTCATTAAGAGATAATGACTTTAAGAACTACAAATCTATGAGGATATTATTTAATTAGTAAGTTTTTAGTTCTATATTCTTTATATATGTTTATTATAACAATTAGTTTTTACTTAGTATGCTTAATCATTATATAATAGGACTGTAGCACGTTATCGAAGAGGTGAAGGTCTCCCTCCAAACACCAAAAGACCTGATCCTGTTGAGTTTTATTCATAGAAAAGAATAAAGATTTGTATTATTTTCTTAATAAAACAAGTTGGTATATATCTAAATGATTGTTTGATTGATATTTTATGTTTGTTATTCTGAATATGTTGTTCTGGATTGATGTAGAATTTTTGAAAAATTCTAGAACTTCCAAGCTATAGGGGAGACTCTACTGGATTTTCGATAGCAAATACTTATATCATATATATATATATATATATATATAACTTCATCATTGAAGTATTTTAAATTAAGTTAGAATTTATTTCTACCATATTTT